AACAAGTGACAAAGGGGGCGGGTAAGGGAGGGGAGACAGGAGGGCACCAATGGGGGGGGGCGGGGAGCCACAGAAGAGCGCTCTGCTGCTGTGAACTGGACGTGGGCGCGGGGGCCTGGGCTGGTGGGCAGCGAGGAGCCAGGACGCCAGGCCTCCGCGGTTTCTGAGACGCGACCTGGGTCTGGGGCCGCCATCCCGGGTGGGGAGGGGCTGGGCTCAGCCTGCAGGCGCATCTGCCTCTGCAGGATGGGGGTGGGCATGAGGGGTCCGTGACCCCTGGGTTCCCCACGGTTTTGAGAAAGAGCCCGGTGTCAGGACGTAGGGAGCCACCAGGGAACCCCGCAAGGGAGCAAGGTGATGGGCAGAAGTGGAGAAACGTGCAGAAAGCAGGGTAGACGGCCGTTTTGGTAACTTTGGCTCTGAAAGGGGGCCCACCCGGGCAGCTGGGAGCCATGTGGGTTGGGTCCAGGCTGCCAGCCCAGCAGAGTTGAGATGAGAGGGTGTGGGGCAGTGCCAGTGGGCAGGAGGGTACATGGCAGGAACCCGCTGTGGGGGGGGGGTGTTCCTGAGCGGGGTAAGTGAGCACAGTGGGGCGGGAGCAGGCTACTGGCCAGGTGAGTGCCCACTGTAGGGTGTGGCCATGGCTGGAGGAGGTCCACAGTCCCCAACATGCCCAGCAGCAAGGGTTCCCAGGGGTGGAGCAAAGCTGGTTAGACAAGCTGGCCAGGGAAATGGGCAAGGGTCTTTGCACGGGTGGCAGGTCTGCTAGCAGCCGCCATACCCATTCTCCCCTCATGACTAGAAATAACAGCGTCAGCCTAAAAAAAACTACATTTCCCAGCCTTCTTTGGCTAGGAGTGGTCATATGACCGAACTCTGGCAGATAAGATGTGAGCAGCTGTGCACAGGGTTCTGGGAAAGCTCCTTGAAAGGAAAAGGGCAGGCCCCTCTTCTCCCTTCCTGTTTGCTTCCTGGAATGGGGGATGTGATGGCTGGAGCCTTGCCCTCCACCTGGGTCCTTGAGGATGGGGGGTCCAGCCCTGGGATTGTGTAGCAGACAGCTGGACAGAGCAGGGTCTCCAAGAACTCGGTGAAGGTGGCATAGCTGTTCAGGGCCGCCAACAGCCAAAATTTCCTCACACGAGAAAATGAACAATCTGCTTTCAACTTCTGTTCATTCGGATTTTCTCTTTCCTGCAGCCAAAGCCAATCCTAACATAGCAGGAACCACAGCAGCCAGCTGTGGGCTGTGGGCTGGACATGAAGGGAGCACAGCCCCTGGGAGGCCTTGGGTGGGCCTGCGCACACCGGGTTGGCTCACGCAAGGCTGTGCCTCGCTTATTGATGGGAGGCCCCTTCCACATCCGTGGCTTCGATGTGGAAACTGCATGGGTACAATTCTGGGATTGTGGGGTTGATGCGGTCTGGGCCAGCACTGGTCCTAGCAGGTTTAGGAGGACCTGTCCCAGGGTGCAGTCAGGTTCTGGGGCTCAGACAGCCCCTCAAGACACAGACCAAAGTGAGATCACGGGCGAGGGAAGGACACACGACAGGGATGAGGGAACAGCAAGCTCACCGCTCACCCCTGCCTCCAGCGCAGGCTCCGGGGAGCTGGAACCCTGAGTCAGACACAGGAACCCTAGGCTGAGAACTGGACAGGCAGAGGGGTCCCCCAAGCCTAGTGGGAGCAGGAGTGGTAGGGCCAGCCTGGGGGTCCCGGGGAAGCAGCCAAAGAAGCCTGTACCCCCAAGCTCCCCAGGTACACAGTGGGTTCTGGGGACCCAATGACACAGTGAGCCAGAGAGCTGGGGCTGGAGCCGGGCCTCACCTGGGCTTCTCCAGGAAGGGAACAGGGGCACCCAGGCTGGGAGTGTGGGGCTGCCCCCAGCAAGCCCCGTAACCTCCCAGGCTTCAGTTTCCTCCTGTGTAATGTGCAGATAACCACAGCTCGGGTGAGCTGACACAGGCCAGTCCCCATAAAGGTGGGCACCAAGGAGACTGGAGGGTCCAGGGACGAGCCAGGGCCCGCACAGGTGCCTAGCGGTGCGGCCAAGCCGGCAGCCTGGAGGTGGAGTACACACGGGCCGGGGTGTTGCTCCCCTGGCTTCATGGCCTCCAACTCACCCTGCACCCCTGCTCCGCAGCCAGGGTTGGTGTTGGGGGGGTCCACACGTGTGGCCGCTGTGCTTCTGGGTGAACTTGGAAGATGGGTCGGCCTTGGTGGGTGAAGGCAGGATGTGGGTGAAGAGAGGGGGGAGGCCAGAGATGGCGCGGGGGGTCTGTCTGAAACTCCCTCTGTCCTTCTCCCCCTACCTGCCTCTCTGGTGCAGGATGGTGAAGGGCCAGGCTGAGGGGAGGTGGGTGCAGCTTTGCAGGCAGAGGCCAGGCAGTGATGGTGGGCCGAAATCTGAGCGCCACCCAGGGGCTGGGGCCAGGATCCCCACGTGCCTGTGTCTGGTCTTCCAGGCACAACTGAGCTCAGCGAGGTGGGCCTGGGGGAGGCAAGGGGTCCCTGCGGGACAGACCCAGCCCCTTCCAGGCCCTGGTGGGTGCACCCTTCCCTGGCCTTACCCCCAGCTCCCCGAAGTGGAGGCTGTGACTCCTGCTCTGCAGATCTTGCGCCCAGCGCAGGCTAAGAGCACAGTCATGCTGATGGTTTCATGTAAGGCCAAGAGCTTTCTGGAAACTTCCGGAGCCTTCTGGGGCTCCTCAGTCAGCGGCCTACACCCTGAAGGCCCCACCCTCCTGTAACCCCTTGGTTGGGTGGTGCTGAGCTCTGGGAAGCAGGGAGAGTCGGGCAGAGGGGCTCATGACCTTTCTGGCTGTGCCAGAAGGGACAGCAAAGGAGGAGGAGTGCCACACGAGTGGAACCCCGGGGGTCTGAGGTGTAGGGCAGCCCAGGCCGGGGGATGTCAGCACATGAGCAGGGTGTTCCCAGCTGCACCATGGGCCGGGGCTCCCTCACCCGCCCTTTTCCCTCTGGTGATGGAAAGGCTGATGTGGGGCGCTCTCTTGCACTCCTGCCTGGGGCAAGGTGGGGTCGCTGCCACCCACGCCGCAGGGTCGTCTTGCTCCCCAACCCCAGCCTCAGCCCACAGCACTGCAGCAGTAGCGGTGACGGGCTGACTGGTGCAGGGACAGACCCTCAGAGAGCTCAGTTGGCTCAGCGGGGACACCTGGAGGATAGGAGGGCCCGATAGTGAGGCCCGATCCCCCGGAGGGCGCAGGGTTCCGGCCCAGGCACCCGTCCCGCGGCGAGGCACACCACCCATTCTGCGACCTCTGTGAGTCCTTCCCGAGTCCCGGGTGGTGCTGCCACGGGGACACCTCATCACCGAACAGCGATGCCTGCGTCCCCGCAGCCACCTGGCCCAGGGCTGCAGGGTCCTCCGCGGGGACTGCGCCAAGTGGGGACCCGCAGGTCATTTGAGGAGCGTGGCCGAGCCAGCCAGAGCACTGGCCTCCTGTGGGTGGGAGCTCTCAGGAAGGCCGCTTAACCCCGGCCGGCCCTGGCTGTCCTCCTCCTCCTCCCGGAGCGGCAGGAGCTGCGTCCTGGGGCGCAGGCAGGCGGGTGCGCCCCAAGCGGGCCGCCCCGGCCTGGCGCTCAGCGGTGGAGGGGCCGAGGGGCGAGCGCTGCGCCCAGCCCCGACCCGCGCCGCTCTGTCCCGCCCGGCGTCCCTCAACCCCAAGAACCCCCTGAGGCTACGGGGAGGGAGAACGGGACGTTCAGAGACTACAAGAATCGGGGGCGCAGAGAGGGGCGTCTCGGACCGGGGCCTCAGCTCGCACAGCCCCGAGCTCGTCGGGGGGCCCAAATACATCGAAACCGGCGAGTCTGGCTGTGGGACGCCGAGCCCGCGGGGCCCGAGCCCCGCGCCGGATCGAACCCCCCCCCCCCCCCCCGGGGCGCCTGGGTCGCGCCAACGTCCCCGCAGCAGGGGGGCGAGGAGGGCCGGGCGCGGGCGGCGCGGGAGCCTGAGGGACGCCGGCTCGGCCTCCTGCGGTTTATTGATTGAGTCGAGTTCGGCAAAGTGCTTCCAAGCGGCCGAGCCCGGCCCCGACGCGGACAGTCATTTACAAATTTAAAACTCTTCCGTAGCAACGGCTGTACATACAGGGTCCGCGGCCGCGCCTCGCAAACCGGCCGGCCGGCGGGGCCGCGGCGCTCAGAGGTGCGGCGCGTAGAAGGCGGGCGCGCCGTAGGTCTGCGAGCCCAGGACGAAGGGCGACAGCACCGCCGGGCTCGGCAGGAAGGGCAGCTGCGCGGCGCACACCAGGCCGCCGGGGCCGTGCGCCGGGTACCCGGCCGGGCCGTGCATGGCGAGCGGCGCGCCCATGGGCGGCGACGGGCTGAGCGGGCT